TATTCATCATACTTTGAATGAGAATTTATAAGTCTTTGTCTTACCCGTTCGGCTAACGACCCTCCACCAGTCAAGCAAGCGGTGGGTGAGAGTAGACACCCATTAAGTCACCATTTTATAGGCAACAACCTTATACCCACCTTATAGACCGGCTTCGTGAATGAGGCGTACTAGCGGTAAGACGACTTTGTTCTTATACATACATATATATATATATATATATATATATAATTATTAAATCATCATAATATAAGTATAAGGGTTGAATTTTAACTTTTTTTAAAATTCTAGGGGTTGGAACTAAAGTTTTAACTTAACTTTACTTGTTCTAAAACTTGAGGGCAAGTTTTGTAACTTTCAAAACTTTTCATTTCTTGTAACTTATGAGTTTAATAGAGTAATAAAATGAAGACTCTTCATTTTTCTAACTCTTGTGTTTGTTTTTAATGGTTTTAATTCAAGTGTGACTCTTGGTTTTCCTTAACTTGAGGACAAGTTATGGACTCCATTAAAACACATTATGATCATGAATTAATCTACCACATAGGTTACAAATAATTCCCATGATCATCTAAAACATCATAAGAACAAGAACATGAATATGAACTTATTCATAAATAAAAAATTACACTTAAAACTTTGTAATTTTGATAACTAGTTGTTGTAAATGAATTATCAAAGACATTACACCATCTAAAACAAGTTTTTCAAGTACCAAAAGTTTAGGGTATTGTTTCTTATTCATTTCCAGCAACTAAAGTCGAAATTCTGCAACCAGTCGACCCTACTCGCCGAGTGCATGAACTTACTCGCCGAGTTGATTGAAGATACACGTGAACTCGACGAGTCCCTCTTATGGACTCGACGAGTCCATTCGTAGACAGCAAGTTTTTCGACTTTTTTTCCAACTTTTAAGCACAAATAAAAAGCAAACAAGCCTAGGCTCTGATACCACTGATGGGTTTTGAGCATTCTAACACTTCCTAAGTGTACATGCAACCCTAATAACCTTGGATCTATGTTTGTCTAATTATCATGTAAAGTTGAATTCCACGGCTATATTCCTATCTAGCATACATGGGGAACAATTTTAACTTGAATAATAGATAGAATAACTTACCTTGTTATTGCTTGTGTTCCTTGAAACCTTGTGAGCCTAGCACCCCAAGTGTGATGCCTCAAATGCTTCACACAACACCAAATGCTCTTGGAAAAACTTATGAGAAAACACACACTTCTTGAAATCGTCCAAGCCCTCTTGTTTCCTTAGTGTCGCCGATTTTGGTGGAGAATATGATTCTTATATAGTGTTGACACATCTAGGTACACCATGTAAACCCTAATGTGTCATGACTCTTCATTTCCATAACGCATGGGTTTGTAACTCCCATGGAGCATCCTATGGGTAGAACCCAACTTGATAATCCATGGAGCCTCTTAGCCCACTATACAAGATATAGATAATTTACATAATCAACTCATATATTTAATTAGTTCTCTTTTGACCACTTAATTAATTCTAAATTAATTATTGATCAAACTAATCAAATAATATTATTAATATATTAGAACTTATAATATATTAATAATCTCCAAGTGTTATTTCTCTCATTTAGTCTATCCAATTGCATGGTGCCATGCAACCCAAATGGACCATGCCGGGTCGGGTCAAGTACATACCATAAATAGTTATGGACTTAGACACCTTATCCAACAGTTATGTTGGTCCCTTTCATCTTGAGGTTCTAGAGTTCCTCCTCAAGTTTCTGAATTTCGCCCCTAGGGCAGTACTCCCTTCTCATGAGATCTTTCAGAGTGTCCCAGCCCATGGCATTGGCTGTTACCAAGGAGAGTGCACTGACATGGCCGTTCCACCATGTCAAGGCCCTGTTAGTGAGGGTGGCAGTAGCGAACTTGATTTTGCTCTCTTCGGGGCAAGAGCACATTTCAAAGATAGCTTCGGTTCTTTCGAACCACTGAGACAATGTTAGCATTCCTCCGGTACCATCGAAGAAGGTAGGTTTGCAGTTCATGAAGTCCTTATAAGTGCATCCCTGCACTTTTTGATGGACTTCACCAAATCTAGAGTTGCCACCGCTCGCATCACCAGAGTTCATTTAGGCTATGGCTGCTGTCACAGCTGCAGTCACAGCTATTTGGAATAGCACTGGATCGAACTGCGGAGGAGGAGGTGGCGGAGGAGGGGTTTGAGTTGCTGGTCTTCCTCTGTTTGGAGGCTTTCGTGGAGGCATCTTTCACTGGAAGATCATAGAAATGATAGCAATAGTAAGAGTCCATTGAGAATATGAACATAGGGTTCATGGATTAAATCAACATAATCCAAAGATCAGAATGAGAGTCATAGCAATAGAGTAGTTAACTGCCAATTTACTGGTATTAATGATGTGATACAAGTTCATGAAAAGTGACCTAACCGTAGGTCTTACATCAAACCAAAAGGAAAATATTGGCAGTCTAAAGACCTAATTAGAGTGCTTTCAAAGCTAGAATTGTTTACAGACAAGTGATCTACGGAGCATAGAAAGGAAAGGCTAGTCCTTTAAACAAAAGAGTGAGGTAATTAGGCATCTTCTACGAGCGACGGTTACTTGTTGGGTGAACCCTTAGATCAACTAGTTGACGCATAACTTCCTGAAGGTGTCGTTCATGAGTCCTTTGACGTGCTCGAAGTTCCCTAACTTCGGCTCGGGATGCAGCTAGCTGTTGCTGCAGAGCCTCGTTGGTCCTCCTTGTCATGTCCATGGCTTCTTCAAGTTGGCGGATGCGAAAAGTGTTGAGATTTGAGTTGGCGTCCACTTTTACAATTCGACCAATGGCTGCTTGACCCTGCTCGACATTCCTGGCAATCCTTCGGACCATGATGGGTAGAACCCGATCCGCTGATCCTCCTTCGCTTATGTTGTAGAAGCTTCGGTCTCCATTGTAAGGTAGAGGCTGGCCCTGCTCCTCGCTCTATCGGTTCAAGGATATTGCCCATAGGGGAGTGGGACCCTAAAATGTCGAACGGGGGTTGGGGTTCGGAGCTCCACGAGGTAGGTTGTTAACTTCTGGCTCGGAGTTAGAGCTATCCGAAAAGCCTTCTGCTCGGTGATCGTCCAAAGGGATCTGGTGATCATCGTCCGACTCTTCGTCGAGCCATGCTCCATTGCCCTGGTTTGGGTAGTATGGATCATCGAGAAGGTGGAAGCCAGCCATGCTATCTACGCGAGAAAGAGGAAAGGAAGATTAATAGACGTACTAATCTAAAATACTTATAAGATGATTGTCACGAGTTAGACCAATACTTGCATAATGCATACTAATTACATGTGACCGAGGCAGGATAGTCCGTCGAATAAGTGACCCTAACTCTAAATCCACAACCAAACAAGGAACAGGAAGTAAAGCAAAGATCACAAATTCTAAGTCTATAACGCCCTAATCACAGGTAACCGGAAAGTATCCATTTAGCAACTACTACTCCACTAGTAATGATCCTTTTTAGTTCTCACATATGTATATTTTAGAGGTACAAAATACTCCTATAGCAGTCTTATTCTAACGTTATTGTGGTAGTGTTGGTAAGTTTTAGACTTGTTGCAACACCACAACCAAACTTAGGCACATGCTAGTCACTCCCAGGAAAATGTAGTTGATCAGGCTACATCCCCCCAGATGTGACTATATGTATCTAAGCCTAATTGTGTTGTCCAACAATCTTAATACTTTTGTTCTGTTCTAGTGCGATACTGACTTCTATATTTTATAGAGATGTATATGTATACTTAGTTAAATATTTTAGTACTTAACAGTATATATTCTGGTCAGAGTGTTTTAGTCCCGAAGTGTTTATAGTTCTTGTATCTTCTATAGGTTGATATACTTAACTCACTATAAACAATGCTCTGATACCAATCTGTCACACCCCAAAATCAATAACGGCGGAATACATTTCGGGGTTGAGGACGTCATGTACAGTATCATCACAATTGCATAATAGTAAAAACAATGAACATACAACCATTTCATTTACATGGTGAGTTTAATTACAAGTGTGTTCTGTAAAGTTTCAATCACTACTAGAAAAACAGCCTTTTACGACGCTCATTGCACGTCGTAAAAGGCTCAGACGACGCGCAAATGTGCGTCAAGGAAGGCCCTGTCATAAAGAGAGACGACGCGCTTTTGCGCGTCGTCCATAGACGACACGCATTTACGACACTCATTTACGACGTGCAATTAGGACGCGCGTTTACGACACGCAATCCGTATCAAGGAAGGCCAATTGTGTTGTCCAACAATCTTAATACTTTTGTTCTGTTCTAGTACGATACTGACTTCTGTATTTTATAGAGATGTATATATATATACTTAGTTAAATATTTTAGTACTTAACAGTATATATTCTGGTCAGAGTGTTTTAGTCCCGAAGTGTTTATAGTTCTTGTATCTTCTATAGGTTGATATACTTGACTCACTATAAACAATGCTCTGATACCAATCTGTCACACCCCAAAACCGATAACGGCGGAATACGTTTCGGGGTGGAGGACGTCATGTACAGTATCATCACAATTGCATAATAGTAAAAACAATGAACATACAACCATTTCATTTACATGGTGAGTTTAATTACAAGTGTGTTCTGTAAAGTTTCAATCACTACTAGAAAAACTGTCATAAAGGAAGATGACATGCATTCGCGTGTCGTAACCTTACGACGCACGTGTTAATGACACGAAATGCGTATCAAGAAAGCAACTGTCAAGAAAGGCCATGTCATAAATGAAGATGACACACATTTTTGCGTATCATAATTTTAAATGTTTAAAATAAATATTCTTTATAGATTTACTTATTTTCAAATTAAATTTGTATTTAATGTTTCATAATACAAAATAAAATATCATATACAAAAAATAGAATCCATTGCATAAATTTAATGTCATACAATTCTATTTCTTACAATATATAAATTTGCATCTGATATACTATGTACATCAAATTCCAACTAGGTAAGGGGTAATTTGAGAAAATGCTGATAATGCCAAATTCAACTCCAAGTCTTTATGGCATCTTGCTGATAATGATGGAAGATTTAAATCAAGTGGCTTCATATTCCTTTCTTCCATAAACTTTACCTGATACACAAAATACACAGAAACAAAAAAAAAATTGTAGAATAAGGGGTAATTTGGGAAAATGTGAGGGGTATAATATCATTATTAGCCAAGCAAGCAACCTTTTCCTGAAACATGGTAGCATGAATTTATAATGCCAATTATGCCCTTCTATTGTAGCAAAAAATAATCCCAAATGTGAAATTTTACCTGTTTTAAAAGTTTTACTTGTGTAGATTTCATCCCATAATAGGAACATGACTCTACAAGTTGTAATGCTTTTGAATATGCGTCAATTGAAGTTATTATCACAAAAGGTACTTCTCTTCTGCATTCACCTACAACTGGACAATTTACCAGTTTTTTAATATATTGATTTTAACTTTCTATTGTACATATAAGAATAAAGATAATATGTTCATGGGGAAACAAAAAGCACCTTGAGTTTGTCTATGTAGTGTTGTAAGAAACAAGTTCCTATTGTTGTCTCCATGAGAAGTGCTACCTACGAAATGGATCAAAGTTTTATAAAGTGGTGTTAAACTAACAGAACAATTATCAAAGGATTAAAAGACAAAAATAACCTTGATTCTATTGTATCTAAGATGTTTCCCAAGCCCTCCTGCAACAAGAACAAATGCAATACTTTTGTATTTGCTTGACACTAGTCTCCTCATAAAGATTTCTCTGGGAGTCTTATTAAGTGACTTACAGAAGGTTTGAAACCATCAAATGGATTGTTTCTTGCCTTCGAACATAACTGTATGACATTTTTGGTATCTTCAGACACACATGGCAAATCGTCTTAAGACATTTCGTGTGGTTGTAACTTTTATGGATTGAAAATACATAATTGTTTATTATTATAGACATAGTTAGAAATAAAATCTAAAAGAAGGGGTGATGAAGGGTAGGGAAATGAGTGGCTGAATGGATTAAGTCAGACAATATTAATGTATCAAGTCAAAAAAAAAAAAAAAAATCCTGCCCCTATATGTATATATATATATATATATATATATATATATATATATATATATATATATATATATATTATTTGGGTAAAATGAAGTTAATACCTAACAGGAACACGGGTGTTTGTTTATGATCTTATGCATAAAGAATGACTAAAGAGAGAAAGTCAAGCTGGCATCATAAATTTACTACTGTTGTGTATTTAAATAAAAGGATAAATAGAGAATCAATCACATATAGCCAAAGCATCTTAGTGGAGTCCATCATATATCAGCATAACTCTTTCAGGATACTTCTTTTCCTATCAAAAGAGAGGAAGCTAACCTTTTGAAATCATAATGATGTAGTCTCTCTTTTGAAATCATAATGTCAAATATTTTCTAGATATTGCACTAAAGATAGTGCAAGAGCATCCAGACCTTCGTAGTAGTGGAAGTGTGCTTGGAGTCTTAGCTAAAAAGGCTGATGTATTTGCTGAAACAGAATCTAATATCTTTAAGAAAACCTTCAATTGGGGTAAGCAAAGCATCTCTACTCCTTGATCCATAATCCATCATTTTTCACTTGTTAATATTTTATATATTGTTACAGTGATTAATCCAAAGAAGCACGTTCTTGAAAGGGAAAGTAAAGCTAAAGCATTGGAATTACCTACACTCATTTGGGAAAATATTGCTGAGAAGCCAAGGAACGAAATTGATGCCATAATCAGAGGCCCTCCTGATCCTCCTATTAAGCCAGATGACAAGTCACCTTCTGGCAAAGAAGAACAAACTTTTGAACTACTAAAACGAATTTATGATGGAATTGACAAAATGCCATTTGAAATCCGAAACTTAATTAAAGATTCTCCTCCTGTAATTCATCAAAATGTACCAATTCGAGGAAATCCAACTAAAAAGTACTCTGCCCAAATAATATTTGTTGCTGCAGAAATGGGGAATACTAGATTTATTGTCGAACTTATACGCAAGTATCCTGATTTTTATTCCAACTCTCCCTTTAAGCCTCACAAGGAGCCACATCATCTTCCAGCTGTGAAAGTGTTCTACCAAAACAAACATAAATTAGAATTAATATCAAAACATATATTTCCAATTTCCAATCTTTGTTTTCTTTATCTATGTGGACATGGTAAGAAACTGATTATTGAGATCAATGTAAATATATTATACCAAACTACCTTTTCAAATAAGTTAGCCTTGCTATGGCTTTCCGAGTGTAATCAAGAAGAATCTTTGACTCCTTTTGCACTTTAGCCCTCTTATCTTCTACTCCAGTCTTCCTTAGTGATACATCTCCCATACAATCATCCCTAATATAAAATAGTTAAAAGTGCATAAATGGAATTACCATATATTAAATATATAATATATCAAATCTGTTTTTGTTGGAATAAAAATTCAAGTAACACTTACTTGAAGCATGTAACTTGTGGTGGGATCATCGGTTTCTATTTGAGTTCCTTGCAATAAAATAAGAACTTCCATCACCTGTTCAATTTTTATAAATATTAAACTTCAAATATAAATAATGATGGAAAAAGAAAAGTGAATAACCAAGCATAGAGTGCCCACATCTATTTTGTAAAAATGCTGGAATTATTTTATTTATCTTATGAAGCTAGTTTAGAAATAAAATGGCATACCTGTCTGACTTGTCAAAACCAAATCTTGCACAAAAATAACACACGACAAAAAGTAGCCATACGTCACTATGGACAGCAGCCAGAGACAACCAATCATTTTCTGGCATTCCATCACATGCAAAATTGATACCTAATGCATGTTCAGGGAGCTCTGGAGGGACCTCTTCTGTTGGTAGGTTAACCTCCCATTGTTCACTGGGGAATCCATATAGACAAGTTTTCCTTTTCTGAAATATAAACGAATATAAATTATCAAAATACAACTTTCTTTATAGTTTAAAAGGACTGATAAACATCAATTATATCAAAGGCACATAACATAATTGTACAAACACATTTACAAAATAGTATAGTAAAGGGAAAACACTTCAAAGGAAAAGAGCATGTTGTCTACAAGAAAACAGAATAGCATCACATTCACAGCATTATCTATGCCTTTTTTTTTAGAATAGTAAAGAAAAAACAATCATTCTTTTCTTTTTTAGGAATACTATGCAAAATCCCAGCAATCATGATTTGATTGTCACTACCAACATTTTGATGGATGATATCCCCCACCCAAACCACTTATCCTACCAACCTCTTTCTAATCAGCCTTCAACTTAGCATCAACCTGAAACCAAACTCATTTTATACATTAACCAATTATGAAACACTTCATGTCAATATCTGAAATTTTTAACTATTGACAAAAATAACCTTTTCCCCACTTACTTCCTTTGGCCCCAACCTTGATTCTTTTTACCATCTATTTTTTTTCAACCAAATCCAATGCAATAGGAGGCTGAGAAAGCCTCATTCATCAACTACCTACCTGCAATGCAATAAACAAGTCAAATAAATTTAACCAGACATCTGGAATAGTAACCATTTTAACAATAACAAATCAAAAAATCATACAAAACTTTTAACTAACCAATCTCAAATTTTAATCATACAAACAAACCTTCATCATCTTCATATTTTTCTTTTTCATTTTAACAAAGCAACAACGTATCTGCTGTGATACAATCACTCAAATACATTGTCTCACTTTGAATAAAATAAGGGTATTGATTTTTCCATGCCTATTTTTGATCAATCCACATAATTTTAAAGTTAATTGACAAATATACCCTTGATTTAAAATGTAAGATATATTGAAGAGAGAGAAACCAATTATTTGTTTCCAAATGCAGATCACTTTCCTTATTCCTATTTCTCTCACATTCGACACAACCATAATGAATTTGAATCTGCAACTTGTAATGGGTAATCACAGTTGGGAAAAAACCAATATGCAAAAACAACATGCACACATAAGGACCACAAACACCAAACCCCATATTAAATACATAGCATGCCAAGAAAGCCATCTGTATATAGGGAGACACCATGGTTATGATTCATATGTGTAATGATTTATGGATTGAAGCATAAAACTCCAACATGCATATGATCTGGTTATGATTCATATGCGTCTAAATATATTAATTCTCTGACTATTGTGGTTTAAAGAATGATCAAGGAAGAAAAAAATAAGTTTCAAATTGAGGGGTAGAACATTCAAAACAATGAATCTTAGTGGATTAAAGAACGAACATGGTAAAAGAAAAGGATATTAATTGGCAATATTGTGAATTTTAGCTAGCTTTAAAGGTAAGAAACATGATTGTGATAAAAAAGAAAAATAGGATCTAATTTGAAAATCTAATGAAGTAAACATGTAAACGGCATAATTGTCCATTATGTATAAATTTATGTGGATTTATAAATAAACTTTCATGGAAGAATCAACATCCATAAAATAAGAGTTCACACATCAGTATACGTGTAGCTTTATAAATCTAATATTGATTTGAGATTTCCGAAAATTACACAGACACGATTCTTAAACCATATTCAAGTTAAATCATATTTCATCAATTTTATAGCCTTCGTGAAAGTAAAATTTTAAAAAGTAAATACAAATCATATATTTGGGAATGATTTGGATCACAAACCAGAATGAAAAAAAAAATATTAACAAAGTTAGATAGGTTTTCTATAACCTTGAAACTCTCAGTCCAAAACAAAGAATGAAATTTTTCTATAAATAATAAAATCAAACCTGGTCTGATAGAGGTATAGAGGTCTTGATGAGGTCGTAATCTTTATCCCTTACTGCCACCATGGATCACAAAACAGTGAAAGATGAGTGTATCAGATGGAGTGTCTGCGTGGGTAAATGTTGATTCAAGCCCTAGAATTTACACCTAAGGGGTAGTGGAGAGGGAGGGGGAAACGATTTTCAATGTAACATAGAGGAGGTTACTTCGAGCCCTAGAAATCACAAGACATCGAGAACATTGAAGAAGCTAAGGGGTGTTTGAGAGTGATGTGTGTTCTTGTTCTGGATGTGTAGCAGAGATGGCATCGTGCTTGAAGATGGTTACAATCAACATTGATTTTGGGTAGATGGTAGGTGAATTGGGGATGTCGATCGACGTTTCAGAGTAAAATCAAAGATTGGAGAGCCCAAGAGGAGAGAGTGAGAGCCCAAGAGTAAAATCACAAAAGTGTGGAGTCTAAATGAGTTTTTAGGGTTCAATGGTAGTGAGGATGGCTTAGGGTTTGCAGAGAAAGGGGGAGAGAATGAAGGGAGCGGGAGAGATGGTGGTGTGGGGATCGTCGGGAGGAGGAGATGGGTGGTTGCTTTGCAGAGAGATATGAAGTCGAGATGAAAAGACAAGATTGACACATCTTGTAACAAACGGACTCGGGAAGATGAACAAAATGACCTGAGATTGACCCATCGGGTAGCAACGTTATTGATGCCATTCCTTCCATTTTCGACTGTTCATCCTCCACTACCTCTACTGCTACTTCTTCACCATCTTCTACTTTTTCTGTATGTTACATTAAAACGGAGGTAAAATTATACAAGGGTTTTTTTTTATTTAGCATCAAATTTGACCTAATCGAGCACTACCCAGAGTAAGAGAAGTAATACTTAGGAGAGTGAGATAGAAAAAATTAGGGTCGAATTTAGGAACCCTAAATCATCGGCTCAAATTCATCACTAGGCGGTAAGAACCCTAAATCCTCAGCTCATTAGGGTAGAATTAAGAGTGTAAGAACTTGTTGGAACCGAGAATTAGGTTTTTGGAGGAGGTGATGGATCAAGGAATTGTGGAAGCTGTGGATGAAGACGAATGCCCTAATTCGAAGAGGCGGGGAATTTTTGGGATGAATAGGCGGGGGTTAATTTTTTGGATTTCATTTTCCCCCTAAAAACGCATGTTTCCTAAAAAAAAAAAATAAAGCGACACAGTTACACGACGCCCATTTATGATAGGTGCCCTCTGTGTTTCTTTTTTTGACACTAATTTTAGGGCACGCAAAAATGCGTGTCCTCTATCCTTCAAATTTTGGTAAACTGACATTAATTTTTAGTACACGTACAAATGAACGTCCTCTATCAGTGTGTGTCATTAATTGCACGTCGTAAAAGGCTATTTTTCTAGTAGTGAATAGGCACCAACATTATAACAAAAATAAGAGATGGATCTTGTATGCTCCATCTTCTCCAAAATGTTGCACCTGTACCTGGCTACTTTGACCTAAGGATACAAGTTATTTTCAAAACGAGTATCATCATAAAGCTGGTGAGTTCATAAGAATTTAGTGTGGTTAATGTATAAAATGTGTTAGAACATATAGTGTGAAAAGCTGCAATTTACTTTTATAAGTAGTAGAAAAACCCCAGAAAATCTTGTATTTTCCTGAAAGTACATCGTAAGTGAAAACCCTTAAGTTGCATGTAAGTTTTATCATTGAAAACTGTTTGTTGTAAAAGTATAGTAATAAATCTCCAGTATGTAGTGTAGGTAAAGAAAAGTTATGCCTGATGACAGTAATAGTGGTGCGAACTTCCATTAGTAAGCGATACATATTTACTTCGGGATATTAGCTTAGACTTTTGCCTTAGTGTTTTAGTGTGGATATAGTGTATTCCTTTTATGTGACCAATAGTGAGAGAAATAGTGGGTCCGATGACCTTCCCGGTCATCCGTAGCATAGTGAAGTAGTGCCATCCCTGGGCCTGCTCGGCTCGGACTGAAATTAACGGTCGGGATATAATAGTGTCTGCCCCATATAGATCTATACATGTAGTGTCGCCTTCCTTCCGGAAAGCCCTGGTCACAGTATGTAAGCGCGTAGAGTGTCTTGTAGAGGGTTAGTGTGTTATACTCTGGATTAGTGCATTCTCTTGTAATATAGTGTAGTAGTCTTTTGTATAGTTCCTAGAGTGTTCTCTTATTCATGTATCTTCTTGTAATAGTAAGAATTATAGAGTATATAGTAATAGCAGTAACGTGTAGTAGTAGCCTTAACTATACCTATTATAGTTAACTTAGTGTGTATGGTTCTTGGCAATTATATGATAGAGATATCGAATGAGATGAAAATGTTCATATCTAACATCAATATACATGATATATAATTAAGAAATCAACGACAGTCGGACGGATAACCAATACCCTAAGCCCACATCAAACAAGAATAGGAAATAAGGCAAGCTATCGGTCCTAAGTCCTTCAAGTCTTACTTATATAAATATATTAGTGTAGATACATTTTATAAGCAAAGTAATCCAATAAAATCTTAACAAAAAGAATGCATTTAGAAAAAAGTTTATTTTTCCAAAGTAGTTTTAAAAGCGTAGAATCCTTTTATAAAGCATAGTGATAAATCACATGTGATTTGAACTACGGATAGCGAATCACATGTGATTGATTTCCATAAAATGTACATTTGACTTGTACCCCCCCCCCCCTAAAACATGTAAAAACAGTGAAAAGGTTCATTAAGGGGTATGCATTCACCTGGAATCGGGTAAATCGGGTAAATCGGGTGAAAGTGTCGGTTGAGTGTTTGGTGTCAATTAAGGATTTGTACACCTTTTAAGAACCTATTAACATATGAGATATATGTTTTACAAGTAATTAGTCACTTATACTTTTATTAAAAACATTTACATGTCCTAAATTGATTCGAGGTCTTATGGATTAGAAGTGGTTCTCGGGAATCGTACAAGACCAAAAGGGGGTAACTAAGGAATCCAAGAGCTTACTCCCTTGGAGTTTACGGCCCAAAGGCCACTCCTTGGGATTTTATGGCCGTAAGCCCCATGGCTTGGCCGTGAACTCTTGTATACTCCCCAAACTTTGATTTTAAGGTCCATATTTCAATCCCAACAATTTCTAGTGAAAGTATAGGACCATTTAGGGGGCTTAAACCCTCATTTGACAAGGTTTGGGGGAGTTTACTATCTAAGCTTATGCTTGGGCCGTAAACTCTAATTTACCCCTCAAAACACGATGTTTAATTGTCCCAAACTCGAAATGGAATTTCCTTAAGTCATTTCTCAAGTCTAAACATGCTTTGGAAGGGTTTTTGGGGCATTTTTGCATGGATAAGCGGTGTTTACGGCCTACGCATGTGCTTGGGCCATAAACCCTCTTTTATGCCCTCAAAATTATTGTTTTGATGCTTAAACACTCCTAGATAATTTCCCCAACTAGTATCTAAGCTCAAAGGAAGGACAATCGGGACTTTTGGCACCCTTTTAGGTGTTTACAGCCTAAGGAGATTCTTAGGCCGTAAACTCCTTTTCATGACCTTTTCATGTGATTTTTGAGCTATTGCAACAATAATGAATGTTTAGAATAAGTTAGGGTTGAAGATCTTACGTTTAGGAGCCGGAAATTATGGTTTTGGAGTCGGGAACAAGCTAGAGAGAGAAAGTAGTGAGAGAGAGGAGTTTGAGTGGTAAAAAGCTTCTAAGTGGTGTTACACTTTCTTTATATAGGTCTCGGGTGTTGCACCCGATATACGACTACCCGATGCTAAATCTTAATGGGGTTAAACCTTTTACCCGGGTTAATTGGTTGAATAATATAACTTTATTCCATTAAATGTAAATAACAACGAGCTATATTTAATTTACTATGATAATGATCACATGAAATATAAATAAATAAATAAATAATTATTTATTTGACAACTCCAAATTACGGAACTTTTATAAGATGACATATTCCATTAGCAGAAACGGGATTATATATAACGGATTAAATGTTGGGTTGTCACACCTTGCATCTGCACATAGAGTTGGTCCATGAGAAGCCCTCTCGCCATGAATAATTAGTTCACCCCCACTTGGGGTTTGAACTCTCATCATTTTCCATTCGCAATCAATCAAGGCCCCAGTGGGGCCCAACCAATCCATCCTAATGATAATCTTTGATCCTATCAAGGGGATCGACACCAAGTCAACAAAGAATCTATCACTAAATAGATTCAAGACACACCCTTGGTGAATCCTCAAAGAACTCACAGTACAATCATTTGCAATCTCAACCTCTAGTGGAGAGTCCTAAGTCTCAGAGCATCTTAAAACTTCTTGCTGGGTGCAAGAGATATGAAGGATCAGGTAGCCTCGAATCAAACAAAACATGAGCAGTCAAACCATTAAACAAAAAGGTCCCTATACAAGATTAAAACAATCATAAAAATAAATGACAAAAGAAATAACAGATGGAGTTAAGAAGCATATCTGTAACCTCATCTAGAGCTGCACAGGCCTCATCGATTGCTAGTTGAAATGCCCCGCTCTTCACTACAGGAGCCTCCGCTATGGCCTAGCGGCCATCAGTAATCCTCAAGGTGGTAGGAGCAAGCATCGCCACTGCTCCACCGGACAATCTCGGACAATCAAACTTTATATGGTTGGTCTGATTGCAATGGAAGCAAATGAAATCCATCTTAGAGCAATCCCTGCTCACGTAGCTCAACTGACCACAGTTAAAACATCCTAAACCTGTTGATTGACATTCCCCACTGTCTGGCTTGCTGCACTTGGCGCAACGGTCCCGACCATACTAGCCTCTGGTGTGAGCATCAGAGATCTTGGGCCTATTAGTCTGGCCCACTGCTGTTTGTACCTACTCTATCTTTCGCTTTGATCGGAGCTCCAACTCAATCTCCCACTCATGGGCCTTCCTGATCATATCATTTATGGTCTTGTACCCTGAAAAGCTCATGATCTCCCCAATATCCTCCCTCAACATGTCATGGTATCTTGTCTTCCTCATATGCTCGTCCGCAGTGTACTATAGGACCAACAAAGCCCTCTCCCTGAATTTGTCGATAATATCCACTACGGTCTTGGAAGTCTGCGAAGGTCCTGGAACTCCCTCACCAACTGTTGTACCTCGATGGGCGGTGCAAACCCTTTGGAACTTTTGAACAAAATCCTCCCAGGTCATCACTGCCACTGTCATCGTCCTGACAACTTGGCTACTCTCCTCCCACCAGTCTTGCACTTCCTCCCACCAGTCGTTCGCTGAACATTCCCCATGTTAGCAATCCAACAATGGCTAGCGATGGGGTCCTAAACCCCAAAGAACACAGGAGCTCCACAAGCCTTAAACTCCTGGAATGAGGGAGTTTGAGCTCCAAAATGACCCGCAACAATCGTGGCTCGAAAAGACCTGAGCCTCTCATCCGTCAAATCCATGATCCCCTATTTAATGGTACCAAAAAACATAGGGGTAGCATCTATGATACCGCGAGTAACCTCAACCGAAATGAACTCACACACCTTCTCATCAATTGGTTCAACACCTGAACCAGAGCCCGAGCATGGACCTTCTCAAGTAGTCATCACCGACATGAAACTGAAACACAACATAGAGTGGTTAGTTCTGCACTTGTCTTAGGTACAAATCCTATGCTTCTAGTAGTACGGGCCTAATACTACCTTTCACACCTACATGTACCTT